CTGGGCGCCCCCCCTGCCGGGGGCGGGCCCCGCCCGGGGTTTAAATGGCTGCGCAGCCACACCGAGGCACACAGCCGGGGGCATCCCAAGACAGGCAGCCAGCTCTTCCCATCCTGAGCACCGGAGGAGACGCCGGCTTGCATCACTCCTCAAGGTAAAGGTTTTGGTTTCTTTGGGTTGCTTTGGCATTGCCTGGAGTGAAAATGGCAATGTTTGGGGACAGGGGTTGTAGATTTCCTTGCAAGTTTTGGTAGAAAGCAGGAGACTTGTAAGCTGGGATGTAGGGGGGCATCCCAAGACAGGCAGCCAGCTCTTCCCATCCTGAGCACCGGAGGAGACGCCGGCTTGCATCACTCCTCAAGGTAAAGGTTTTGGTTTCTTTGGGTTGCTTTGGCATTGCCTGGAGTGAAAATGGCAATGTTTGGGGACAGGGGTTGTAGATTTCCTTGCAAGTTTTGGTAGAAAGCAGGAGACTTGTAAGCTGGGATGTAGGTGTTTCTTTGTAAGGGAAGAAACCAGGAGCGTTGCTCTTTGCTCCAGTGTGTTTTGGGTGCAGGGTGATGTGCAGCGCGGTTAGCGTGCCCTGTGGGGATGCAGTGCTGGGCTGCTTAAGGGACTTGGAAAATGAGAGCAGAGCTGGAGGAAAGTCCCCCGCTGCTTCACCTGCCTGTGCAGGCAGCAGTGCCAGTGGGATGCCAGACTGACCCAGTGGCCACTGGGGCTGCAGCTGTCCGTGGGGTTATTTTATCGGGGTGCTCTGCTTTGGGGCGGTGGGAGGTTTTACAGGGCTGTGGGGACCATGCCAGGTGGGAGGCGCAGCTCTGCAGCCTGTGGTCTCACGGCGCTGCCCATCTGCATTGCTGGCTCTCGTCACGGCCACTGAGCTTGGCTGGGTGGTGGGTGACATTACTGTGGGAACAGAGAATTCAGAGGAGGTTTCCCACTCTTTAATGATGCTTAGACAAAAAATCTGCAAGAACATGGTCACGTATTTCAAATCCCAAACTGAAGGGAAGTTCCTGCACAGGAGATGCCAGGAGGTGGCACAAGGACAAATCCCTCGGCTTGTTTGATGGTATGCCAGGCTGAGCACCATGTGCCAGGACAGCAAGGCTGTATCAGTTGGAAGGGCTTTGTGGGGCCAAGTTACAGCCAGGGGCACATGCAAATGCTTTGCTCTAGTGTGCAAATACTTTGCTCCCTGTTGCAGCTGCAGGGACCACAACCGACATGAGGGCTGCCTTCCTGGTGCTGCTCCTCTGGGCCGTAGCCTGCACTCACCCTGTAAGTACCCACGGGACAGGTACTCAAACCCCAAACCCCGGTGGTTTCACCCAGCCAAGGCACACCAATCACTGATCAGATGTCTCCTGGGTGTGTTTAGGTGCCCAGCCGTGAGCCTGCCCGCCCCCGCCGCAGCGCCCAACAGGAGGTAAGCCGGGGGGTGCCCACCGCTCGCGGAGCAAGTCTGGGATGGGGTGCCAGCCCCGGGCAGGCATCCTTGGACCAGGCACCTGGGGGAAGAGCTGTCACTTCTGCGGGTCTTTGAGCTTTGCCCGTCTACTCAGTCTTTTCAAGTTGGGTTGGTTTCACCTCATTTCGCCTTGCCTCCCTGTGCACATTCCCAATTCACCTGCTGCATTCTGCTGTGTTGGTCCTGAAAAAGGAGTTTCTGTGCTCTGAACCATCATGGTTTAGGCTTTTCTGGGTTGCCCTTTTGTTGGTGGCTACTTTTTTTTGCATCAGCAGAAACAATTGAAGGGCTGAGGTGCGAGCAATGAAAAAGGCTTGACCACTTGCATGGCTTAAGAGTGATACATCATCCCGTAGCAGTAGCAGTAAACGTGCAGTGGTGTTTAATAAACCAAAGCACCATGTCATGTTTTGCCCCCAGGATACAGCAAGTGAAAATTACATCAACAAGCTGGGCAACCTCCCGGGTGGTGGAGATGGCAGACATCCTCCTGCCAGTGTGGAGAGGGGGGACAATGCCCTTGCCGGGGAGCTGGCGGGTGGGAACGCCGTGGGCGAGGAGCTGGGTGAACAGAGTGGCCGAGACAAGGAAGGCAGAGCTGGGGAGGCTCAGCACCTGAACCAGGTGGACCACGAGGACACAAATGCCCGGAATGGGAGCAGCCTTGGTTTCCTGGTGAGTGAGCGGAGAGGGGTGTTTTGCTCTGCCAGGAAACTGCACTTAGCCCCAAATCTGCTGTCAGTCTCAGGGTAGCGCTTGGCCTGTGCAGCGAGCAGTGCCGATAGCGCCTGTGACCTGCAAGCCTTTGCATTCGTCTCCATTTGTCACCTCCATAGGAGGAGGATGCACGCAATGCTGATGACGGTGACAACGGAGAGCACTATGGCACTGGAGTCAATGGGCTTCCCTTCCGCGCTGGTGGGCTCCTGGACGAGGAGGACGACAGTGGGGATGACACCTTCGACAAGAATGGGGAAGAGGAGCGGGGTGAAAGTCCTACTTACATGGCTGGTGCCGACAGGGCAGGCGAACATGGCCGTGATGTTGGCCATGGGGATGCCGGGGCTGGCGGAGGACACGGTGACAGCAGCAGCAGCAGCAGCAGCGAGAGCATTGGGGCGGACCACCGGCGGTACAGGAACTACCTTGGCAGCCGGTATGAGTGGACCTACAGGCGGGGAGGGGGCAGCAGCAGCAGCCAGGAGGAGGAGAGCTATGACTTCGAGGACGAAGCCATGCAGGGCGATGATCCCTCCATTTTTGATGGCCCAGGCAGCAGCTACAAGGGGCACCGTGCTGGCCCACGCACCCTGGGGAGCAGCCAAGAAAGCAGCCGGGGGACTGGCTCCCACCGCTGGGAGGAGGGTGACAGCAGGTCCCCAGAGGTGGAGGATGCTGACTCAGGAGAAGACAGCCCATCCACAGAGGACAACAGTCAGTCGGAAGAGCCTGTTGCCAGCCAGTCAGAGGAAAACAGTGCCAGCCGCTCTGGGGAGGACGGGGATGGGGAGGACAGCCCCTCCAGGCAGGGTGAGGGCAGTGAGTCTAGGGAGGGCACCACCGACCGGTCAGACAAAGAGCTGGGAGAGTCCCCAGAGGACATCTCACATGAGGTGGTGAGCACATCGAGCAAGCGCAGTGGCAGCTGGTCCCGGGAAGGGCAGGAGGACCAGCAGTCTGCGGAGGACAGGAGTGCGCTGTCTGTGCCTGGCAGCGAGTCCGGGGAAGATGAGGGCGACCAGAGCAAGTCTGAGGAAGATGATGGTGACCAGAGCCAGTCCACAGAGGACACTGTGGAGGAGTCAAAGGAGGATGAGAATGACTCCAACCCTGATGGGGACGTGCCGAGCACATCAGCCGAGAGCCAGAGCGCATCCCCGGAGGACGACAGCAGCCAAGAGGACAATGCAGGCAAGGACAGCAGGTCCACAGAGAGCAACAACAGCAAGTCCCAGGAGGACGATGATGATGACGATGAGGAGAGCCACTCCCAGGAGGACGCCACCCGCGAGTCCAGCAGCCGCGGGGATGACAGCTCGCCACAGAGCCTGGAGAGCGGGAGCCGCAAACGGCGGCCGGGCGCCTACCGCAACAAGCCTGCTGCCGACTACGATGACAACGACTGCCAGGACGGGTACTGACACGTGCCCCACAGCCTCGGTGCTGGAGGTGCGGGGGGGAAGAGGGGTTTAATTTATTTGCTATATAGCCTGGTTGACTTCTTCCTGAGAAGATGCTGTGGACAAAATGAGGCCGGGTCGCCAGGGCTCGACCTGGGCACACTGTATGGGACGCGAAGTGGAAGGTGATGCCAGACACAGGGAAAACGCCAAACCACATCGAGAAAAGCCATTTCCTATACCAAACAAGAGAGCAGCCGAGAGCTGTGAGTGCCAGCAGGGTGATGCTGCCCGCTTGCCACAAGGGCACAGTGGTGGCTCGGCACTCCAGGAGCTGCACCTGGGCATGCTGGGCAGAAAGGTCCCTGCATTCACCCCTTGTATTTACCTACCACTGCCCTAAAAGCGTCTGCCCAGATTCCAAGGGGAGCTTTCCGTTAGCTCCACGTCCTGCACATAAGGAGGAAAAGCTACAGCGGGTGTGCACGCGTGGTGCGTGGGCTCAGCGGTGTGTTAAGTACCACTTCAGGGTGGGATGTATGTAATATTTTGTAAGAAATGTACAGAAAACATTATATTGTATCCTTTTTGCACTTGTATTTCAAAGCTGAAATGTACCCTGTTGATTTCTTTAATTACCATTAAAACCATCAAATTCCACAGTGGTACGGTTTTCCTCTCCCGGGGGAGTTGGGTGCTGCAATTTGGGGTTGGACTGGAGCGAGTGGGGAGCAAAGAGCAGGCTGTTTGCACGAGGAGCCACAGCATGCTGGGGTGAGGAGGAAAGCAGAGGCTGAGGGGTGTTCCTGCCCCCCTGTTTCCAGGCACCCCAAGGGCCACCCCTGCCCCTAGGTGACCCAGAAGTGGGGTGGAAAAGCTGGCTAATGACCCTAGTGAGCTGGGCCTGGGGCTTTGCTAAATTATGGCCATCACCTGCTGCAATGCGAGCAAGGGTTGTTCTGCTCTTCCTGAGGCGCTGGGAAGGAGATGCCCCAGGGCACGGGGGCTCTCCCAGACAACTGGCTCTGGGTGCCCCCAGTGGACCCTGGCACCAGGTCCCCTGCAGCAGCGATGCAGGCGAGCAGGGGAAAAGGGGTTATCGTGGGCTGGTAGATCATGAGTAAAGCCTCTTTTACTCCATGTGCCTTTTATTTTTTTTTTCTCCTACCAGCAAGCAAGTAAACAACACATTATTTGTTTAAAATCCCATCCAGGCCCTTCTTCCTTGTTCACATGTGTATGACGAGCTGTACAGCATGGGTATTGATGCTGACAGAGGAAGCTGCGGGCTGTTGCATAGCTGCACAGTTTTGCAGCATGGAGTTGTGGCTCTGCAGGGGACAGTCTCCAAGGGGTCAGCGTGAGTGGGTGCATGCCTTTCAGCTGCCTTGGGTCAGTGGTGTCATTGCTGGGCATTGCAATACCGAATTCAAGAACCAGTAAAGAAATGAAATAATTTTTTACTACTTATAGCAAAACCGCACTTAATTTGTAGACTCTTTCCACCACTACAAAACAGAACTGCTCCTGGTTTTAGTAGAACTTATGTATTAATATCCACCCTGTGTAAACTTTTTGTACTTCTGTATGAGATCAGCTCTGAAACGTGCAGCTTCCCCACGCTGCTGCCCTGGGAACAAGCCTCTTTCCTGACCCTGCCTCCTCCACCCCACTGGTCCCCACTTCACAGTGGATACCTCGGCTGCAACTTGCTCCTTATTTTTTGAACCCCTTGCATTAGTTGGGTGAGGAGTTGGGGATGCTGTGACAGTGATGATGCCTGTCAGGATTGCGGGTACCAAAATGCTGGTGCACAGCCCTATCACTGCGGTGAAAGACGGCAAGCATGGGTTTGGCTGTAGCCCAGAGGTGCAAAAAGGGCTGGGTGACAGCTGTCACTTTGGTTTAAAATTATAGTAATTATGTGTTTGCTGGCTCCTCTGCGTGGCAGCGCAGGGTAGAGCACTGCTCTGAACTCTCCCGTGTCCAGCAAGTGGTGCTGCTGCTGAGGCAGCAGGGACATTTTGGGTGCTGGCTCTGCCGCAAGGCTCGGTCACATCCCCTGGGCCATCAGAGGTGGTGTTTGCGTGGGGACAACCGGTGGGGATGGGGACTGGGAGGATTTTTTCGGGTCCCTCCAGGAAAGCGAGGGGTGTCCTGCAGCTCTTTGGTGAGCCCAGCCCGTGAGCAGGATGGCCAAGACATCACAAGGGTGGGATGAAATGGGCTCTATGAAACTGCTTCTTGCAGTTTGTGCATGACCCTCTGTCCATCCTCATCCTTGTGTGAGCAGCGCTGGGACGAGCGGCAGCATGGCACAGCTGGGGAGGGGGCCGCTTGCCTTCACCCCCCTGCAAAGGGGACAGCGAGCGTTCGTCCTCCTCTTGTTTCATGCATGGAGAGAAAAACTGGGTTGATTTGGCTTTAGTTTGAGCGGGAGGGGTGTGTGCCTTGCAAACAGGGCATGCGGCACCCCCCTGCACCCTGTGCTGGAGGGGTGGCTAGCTGCGCTCCCCCTGCACGTGGGTTCCCTTCGCATGCCTTCCCAGCGACATGCTGCAGTTGCACGCACGTCCCAGGCAGCAACGCCCAAAATTTGCCTCCTGCTGGCTGGCTGCTCCCCAAAGGCCAGGGAGCTGGTGCCAGAGCTGGCTGCCGCCTGCCGGTCCTGCTGGGATGGCTTCCCACGGGACCGTCCCTCCCAGGCATCGCGGGGGGAAACTCAGCCCTTCGCTGGGGAAACCTCCCGCCTTGCCACAGGGAGGGAGCTGCTCGTGTTGGCCTTGTGCAGGGCCATGCCCAGCACCTGGCAGCGCACGTCTGCGAGGACGGGCAGGTTTTTGGGGACACTGGTGGCACTGGGCTGTCCCCATCAAATGCTGTTCATCCATGTATGAGAGGGGCCACCCCGCTTGCCATCCGGACAGGCTTGGTGGTGGGCAGCACTTCACAGGGTGACGTTTTGGATGGCCAGAGATAGTGTGGCCAAAAGATGCTCACTTTGAGGATTTTAAGGCATTTTTAGCGGCAGCCCATGTGTTTGGTTTTTGCGGCACATGCCTGTGTGCGGTGAGCATCCGAGGGGAGTGCTGCCGCTCTCTGCTGTCGGGCAGGCAGGAAAAGCAGCTGGGAAGGTCGGCCACAAGCTCTGCTGTCGCTGGAGGTGTTCCTGCATCCCGTTTCGGGCTGATTGCGCGATGAAGTTGTAAGGGTCAGCTTGCCCAGTGGGTTAGGCAAGGATAAAAAATGCCCATGTCAATGTATGCATTTTTCTTATCCACCCACATGGTGTTTTTTGTGTGTTGGGGGTGGCCTCCAGAGCTGAACGCACTGATTTACCCAGGAATCAGCACTGGGGTTTAAAGCAGATATTTTGGTCACATATGGGTTTGTGAAAACACGAGTCTGCATCATCTCAAAAGAAAGGTTGCTTGTTTATTTTTTTGTCCTTTCCAAGAAGAAAAAAATCTATTTTTAATAAGTAGCTGGTGTGGCCGAAGCAGTGGGAGGCAGCAGCACTGAGCCTGGCTGCAGCAGCTGGACTTGGGGCGGCCACGGCACGCAAGCTGCATTTATTCAACCCCCCTATTTTCCTGGCTTTGGTGGGAAAAAGAGACCCTCATGACCTGCAGAGCACCTTTCCAGCCAGCAGTGGCTTTTTTGGCAGTGCAGTCAAGCGCCCGCCACGGCGGGCTGAGCACCGCAGCCGGCTGCAGGGCTTCTCCTTGGCCCCTCTTGGTCTTTAGCAAAATGGGAATATCTGTGGAAGAAACAATCCAATGGGATTGTCTCTTCTGTGCCCCCTGTGATGGATTTCTGTGGTGGGAACTGCTCCTTGCCAAGCATGTGGTGAGGCGGGAGAGTTTGATTGCGTTTCTCTGCCCTGTTCAATGGGGAGGAAAAACTTCTGACGGAGTCGCCGCTGCCGTCAATCTGAACAAAAGAAATTTCTCAGCCGTGGGAAAACAGCCTCTGAAACCCCAAAATAGTACAAACCTTCCGAATGCTCTAAGGAATTTTTTCTTCCAGCTCCCTTTACTGCCATGGACTTCAATGGCAAATAACTCCCCCCCTCCCAGCTCAGCTGTGTCCTGGGAGTTTTGTGGTCCCCTCAGCACTGCCCCAAAGATTTGGGCACCACAGGATGGCACATAAAGTGCAAGCGTTCCACCTGTACTGCACTCCCTGAACTTGTTATGGAGACCTAAAAGCTGCAGAGTGAGAAAGTAGTTTGCAGTTCAGGTTTTTCTGGTTTCACACCTTGAAATACAAAGCTGCAAAGAGCTGGTGTTTTGTTTTAACAGAAGGCATCAGGTTTCTGAAAACAGGAGCTGAACCTGCAACTGGGGAGCTGAGGCAGCACCTGCCCTCTCCTGTCCCAGACCTGATGCTGTTTCACCCGCAGAGCAAAAAGTAGGTTCATTATAGTGTGAAAACTTTCAAAGCCTTCTTTTTCGAAAAGAAAATGAGTGCCTGAGTGTTAAGGTGCTTACTGCAACAGACATGTACTTGTCTGTGTATATATGGATACATATACAATGGTTGTGCAACTCATGTATGTACACGATAACAAATAACCAGTGCAAGCACCGCAGTTCCCTGCTGACACATGCAGCGCTCTCTGCCTCTGCTGCAAATAACAACTTTTTAAACCCAAATGCAGGGTTTTTTGCAGGTTCAAGCAGGGTGTGCAGTGGCAGGGAGGTAGGCAGCCATTGCCAGCGCGGCGCAGGGAGCAGTGTGCCTCCACACCATCCAGATGTCTGACTGTCCAGGGACACTGATTTGACTTTGGCAGAAAGCTGGGTACCTCTGCAATGAACCCAGGCTCTCTGCCCGCTCTCCTCCCAAAAATGGGGGCTTTTTTGGGTTTATTTGGTTTTTTCCTCCTATTTCTGTTGTGTGGCTGTGTTTGAGGGCTCTCACACATGGATGGAGGCAGCAGACTGGTGGTGGGACCAGTCCTGGTAACTTATTCTAGCTGGTCCGCAGTTTCTTCCTCCTAAAAAACCCAAAACAAACAAAAAACCAGAGAAAATATGATATACAGATATTGTTCAAACACGTGAGGACCTGGGTGGTGGCGAATGCTGGGATTTGTGATAACACTGTGACCTTGTGCCAGTAATTTGCTGGGTTTCTGTTCCCCAGCGTTCAGGCTGCCTCAAAGTGTTCGCGTTACAGAGCTACTCATGGCCTGCGTTTTGCCAGGTGTGAAAATAGAATTAATTTCCTTTATTTGGTTTCCTGCCTCAGAGAAAAAGGAAAATCATATGAAATGTTTAATTGCAAAGGGCCAATATATAAGGTTGTGTATTGATAACTGAGGTTGATACGTGGCGCAGTTTAGGTGTTCTCCTCTCCCGCTTTTATTCTAAAATCAACTGCTTGCAAGAAAATAACAAGCCACGTACCCAGCTGATGTTGGTTTGCATTTGGGTTTGTGCCGTGAGAGGTAAGGGGGATGAGAGAGGGATCCCTTATTCTTATGCTGTTGCTGCTGCATCCTCTCCTTGCTCATCACTTCGCTCTCCAGTTCATGGCCGTGGCACACACGCTCCTGTCCCTGACAGCACATGGGGAGAGGTGGGAGTCGGGGCAAGCTCTGCCTCCGGTCCGTCCCCCCCCCCATTTCAGAGGCGCCCTGGCCACTGTGCTGCATGGCAGGGGTGCCCCTTTCCCTGGCTGCAGCAGCACCCTGGCTTCTCCCCGCCATGCTCAAAGTGTCCTTCTGGTTTTGTTTTCTTTACTTATTTTTGGCCCTGAGGTTTCCTTCCAGAATAGCTCCAGGGCGTGGAAATAGGATGGTGCAGCCCCGACCGCAGCCGCGGCCCCGCAGTGGACCCAGGCAGGATGGGAGCATGCTGCTCTGCTCATTTACCACCCTGCAAAAATAATAATTAAATTTGGACATAGGAGCCATGTCAGCCTGCGCCAGACAGGGACGCCCTGACCGTGAGGTCTCCACAGGCTCAGGCAATCACATCAAAACCGTATCCAGTGCCCTTGCTGGGTCATGCCAGGTGCAAGCCCACCCAGTTGCAGCGCAAAGCTGGTGCCAGTGGCTGGTGCAAACCACACCAGCGTTGGGTCACGAGACCGATGGCGGGGTTTGGGTGCAGCAGCAGCTGCCTGGGGGTTTGTCATCGTCTGCTGTGCCAGGGCAGCGATGCGCCCATGCAGGGCTTGGGGAGCGGGCTGCCTGCCTAACCCCCGGCTCGCTCACCAAAGCGTGTAATGAGCAACATGGCAGCATACTTGTACACGTTAAAAAACTGATGGGAGTGCAGAAGGGAAACCATTGCATTTGCATATGTGGACTGCATTCTGCATCCCTGCCTTGTCATCTCAACGTGCTCCCAAAAAGTGGGTTTTTGCTGCTGTCACCTGTTGGCACATCCCCCAGAGGCAGGTGAGCTGTTCCGTGTTTTGTTTCCAGCTGTTTATCTACAAAGGCAAGATTATTCTCATGAAGCTGTCAGATCCTGTGATCACTTTTAATAACAGATACCAAACACTGCTTTTGGGCAAACAGGTGACCTCTCCAAGCCCTGCTGCCTTGGAGAGCCGGAGTTCTTGCAAAAGCATTAAGAAACCAATGTTCCAACCCTGAGATGTGATGCTTTTTAAAATTTATTATTATTATTGTTATTGTTATTGTTATTATTTTAAATGGAAACGTTTTGGATGCATTTGGCCAACTTCCCTGCTGGTCTCCCTGCATGGGGCTGTGAGGTTGCTGCTGCCGGTGGCCTGCCCAGGCAGCACCCGCTCCCTGGCCCAGGAGCTAAACATAGGTGCTGGCCACGTGAGGCACTTCAGCAAACGTTAATTATCCTGGTGCTTTTTAGGGATCTTGGGCGAAATATGCATTTTTATAGTCAGTTTTCTTTTTTTAAGCAGCCTGGAGCAGCAGCCCTTTCATTACATTAAAAATCACCTCCCACCAGCACTCTCTGTTCCCCAGCCCTGATGAAATTTAAGCTCAAAGCCGGGCACGTGCTCACTGCTCTCCTGCGCAGGGCAGCCCATGATGGTGTGGGGCAGTGGGAAGCAAGGCTATCTCTGTCCTGTGCCCCCCGCATTGCCCCCCAGTAGGGCAGCCCCTCCAGCCACCCCAGCCCCACGGGGCTGCAGGGGAGCCAGGTCCCTCATGATGCTGGTGTCTCTCTTTAACGGAGGCTGCTGCGTTGGCATCGGAATACTGCATGGCTTCTTTTTTCTTTTTCTTTTCTTTTTTTTTTGTGTGTGGGTTTTCCTGGCCCGAGGTGCCAGCTGAAAGCCACAGCCAGCTCCAGGCCACCCTTGTAATTACGTCTCCTCACAGTGACACAACGGGCTTTGAAGCCCATGGGGCAGGCACAGCTGTGTCCTGCAGCCCTGGGGTTTGCACAGCGGGCACATGGCCCGGCTTGCTGCCAGGGCTGCCGGACCCTCGGGGGGCTGCAAGGGACCTCTCCCTTCCCAAAAGCATGTGATGTGCATGGTGTTTTGTCAGCAGTTAGCAACTCCCCACGATGTACCTGTTCATGTGGTGATGAGCAAGAAGACAAAATAACAACAACAACAAAAAGCTTTCTCTTGCTGGTCCTAACCTGGGAATTTGGTTAACTGGAAATCCTTTTCTTCCCAATCAAATTCAGACTCAAACTGGGCTCCCCTGGATGTGGGTGAGGCTTTCAGCAAGCAGAGCTCCCGGTTTTGAGCAGAAACACGAGCGTTCAGGTCTTCCACTGCAAAGCGGATTTTTCTGCCCTAAATAACCATAGTTTTATCACTGGCTAACCTGCACATCATTGACCTGCTTGAAGGCATGCATTTTCCAGCCCTGCCGTTCCATCGCTGAGGGTTGTCGGGCTGAAGGCGTCAGGTGCAATTTGCAATTCTCCTTGCCACTGTGGAAAGCAAAGCTGCATTCGGCGAGGAGTCATTCCCCTGAGCTGCTGCAGCCTGGGCGCGTGCAGGAGCGGCAAGGGGCCTTTGCTGATGAGTGCAAGAAAAATCTGGGAAAGAGGGAGCAGAGGTGCACTGGAGAGCTGGGTGGCTGAAATCCCAGCAGGAAACGATAAATATAGGGAAAGGAGAAAGGATGTCCCTGCAGAGGTGGGTGCAGAGGTCAGCTGCAGCACCTGCGTGCCCCCATCCCCTGCCATCAGGCGCAGGGCAGGAGGGGTGGGCTCCGACCACTGACTGTATCCTGCCACCAAGGTGCCCGCTGAGATTTGGGTGGCCGTGAGGGTGGGGGTTTTGCATATTTTTTCCTCAGGCAGTTATTCTGCTTTGCTGGGGACGTGTACAGAGCTGCCAGATTTCAGCTGGGGAATACCTGATTTTGGAGAGCAGGGGGCCGGGCTGGCCCCTGCATGGGTCTGTGTGGTTTGGGGGGCACAAGAAATGAAGCACACGTGCATTTTGTAGCATCGCTGTGGCAGAAATGGCTTTCAAAGGGGGACTGGTGATACCTGTATCTGGGTCCCCTTTTCTTTCCTTGCCCTTCCCAAGGCCCGTTTCACCTCTGCAGGCAGCCTGGAGAGGGACTTGTTTGGATTTAGCCTTTTTTTGTCTGACAGCTGACTGTGGAGTTGGGCCTTTGAGGTTGCTCTTCTTGAAAAAACAGTAACAGAATTTCCCAAAAAGGGAGGTAGACACCCCCCGAGAACAGATTTCCCAATATTTATTTTAATTTAAGCCCAGAGTGTTATTATACACTCTGGCCTCCCAGCCATTCCTCTGAGGCCAGACCCTCAATTACGCGGCGTGGTGCAAACCTCCCCGGGTTTGGCAGCGGTGTGGGGTGCTATGTTTGTGCACCAAATCTGCCAGTGTTGAAGTTTGGGGGTTTTCTGGCACACGCCGGCAGGCTGGCGTCACTCTGGGCAGGGCGGCGACTGGTTGGGGGGGGGGGCAAAATTAGACCTTATATCCCGGCGGGGCAGTGGCAGGAGGAAATCTGTGCTGACCGAATCCGCGAGTAGCCGTCGGTGCTCTGGCAGGGTAAGCTTGCTGCTGCTTTTCCCAGCTGGGTTGTGCATTGCCATCTGCTTTTTGTGGGGGGATGGAGGGGCTCAGCTTGCTGGTGGGGCTGGATGCTGCTTTTAGCCCTTTCCTGGGTCTGTGGCTTCATGAAGCACTCGGGTGGAGGACATGAGCATCCAGAGCCTTGCTGCATGGCCGGGGAAGCCAGCTTGTGGCCACTTGTTTTCTAGCCTGAGTTAAATGAAGATGGGGAAACTTCAAGTGCAGATAAATATAATAACAACTCCCCCCAGACCTCAGCACAGCTGATGGTGGGTTTAGCCGGAGGAAGGGTAGGAAAAAGGAAGGTTAGTGGGCCTGGCTGAGCCCAGGGGGATGCTGGGAGCATCCCTCCCTGGGGGGAGGCTGGGGCTCTGCAGGAAGGGTCGGGAGTGCTCCTTGCTGGGGCCGGGATGGAGGAGGGCAGGCCGGGTTTTGGTGCTTAGGGGGTGCAGCTCGGACCTGCCCAGAGCCAAGCCTCCCCCCCCAGATATGCCTACGGGGGGCTTCTTGCATTGGTACCTTGCCACTGCTATTTTTGTCAATGGCAGACTGTAGAAGCTGATTATATTCATTTATTTGTTTACTTATTTATTTTTCCTCAATGAGGTTAAACTCTCTGGGGTGTAATTCCCGGGGGTGTTTCTCCCTGGACAGAGCCTAAGCAGGTTGCAGGGCTGTGGGAGGGCAGCCGCAGTGGGCAGCACTCCCGCCGGCTGCTCCTGTCACATCTCCGGCAGGGGCTGGTTTTCCCCACTCGCTCACAGGTGATGGGGAAGCAGGAGCGAGCAATCCTGCTCAGGGAAAACAATGCATGACCCCATCGAGAGGTGGCTGGAAGTCAGCCTTTCTTCTCCCTGCTCACCCATGTGGACACAAACACCTGTATGGTTTGGGATAGTGACGGTGCTCTCTAGCTGAAAAGCAAGCCCTCGCTGTTTCGCTGTTCCTAGAGAAAGCAGCCATGAGGACTGCCCTGGTCTTCGCCTGTCTGGTGGGGATGGCGTGTGCCTTCTCGGTGAGTGCCGGGCAGTGGGGGGACCCCCCGGCCTCGCCGGGGCTGGTGTGGGGTGCCTGCCAACCCAGCCTTTCCCCCAGGTCAAGAGCTGGCTGCAGCGAGCCAAGTCGGACGACTCGGAAGAAAATGGGGTAGGGTCTCCCCCCACCCTGCGTGCCCAGCCCCACGCGGTGCTGGCCTTGAGGATGAGGACGTTTCAGTCATTCCTGTACCCAAGCCCCCAGACTATGGTATTTACCCCCTTCTTCTCCTGGTAGGTGTTCAAGAACAGGCACCGGTATTACCTGTACAGATACGCCTATGTGCATCCTCCGCAGCGACAGTACCAGGTGGGTGCTTCAGAGGCATTGCTGGTGCTTCACCACCCACCAAATGCGGAGATATTGGCCCAAATGAGACAGGGGCACGGTCTGCGCCCTGTCTGCCACTGGCCTGCAGGGCTGGGCTGAGACCGTCACGCTCGTGACACCAATGGAGACCCACCAGTCCGGCTACAGCTCGGTTTTCTCTCTCCTTAGGGCAGTGACTCATCGGAGGAAGAGGGGGACGGCTCGGAGGAGGAAGGGGGGGTGAGTACAGCAAACCAGCAGCCTGCAAAACAAATATGGGAACTTGGGAATTTTCTTTGGTTTTGTAGTCTCTGCTCATCAGCATTTGTGGCGGCTGACCGCCCACAGCCTTGCACTCTGGATGCAACTGGATTTTCTACTCTGGGCTTTATTTTATTATTTTTTATATATTTTTTCCTTTTTCTTCTTTTTTTAAAGAGGATGGGTGGGGCATGCACCAAACAACCCTGAAACAAACTTTCCAGGTTTCCATTTTCAGTGGCTCAGAAAAGAGCAGGATGGGCCAAAGGGCAGAAGTAAGGAGGGTCACCTGCAAGGCAAAAGGCACCGTTAGGGAATCGTCTTACCTTCCCCTTTCAGGGTGCATTGCCCCCATAGTGCTGATAAAATTGCTATGGAAAATACAGTTATGCTCTGCACGCGTGCGTGTGGGGGGACACAAACTGATGCGATATTGGGAAATGCACGCTTGTACCATCCCAGCTGGTAACGCTACTCCTGTCTGCTGGGTCAATATGAGCTTGGGCACCACTGCATTTGCGGGAGTCACCCAGGTCCAAAATTAAATGCCAGGGATTGCAAAGGCCTCTTGTGCCTCACTGGGCTGCAAATGCTCAAAAATGATCCAGTGGTCTCAGGCACACAGGTGCTTTGAGGTAGGGATCCGGCATGTTGGAAACCTACGTGTCAGGTCTAAACACATCTTTTTTTTTTTTTTAATTTAATGATTTGAATGCTAATTTCAGGGGTCTTTTTAACAGGAGTGTAAGCCTGGACATCTGGTCTTAAAACCCCCTTTGGAGGCCCACCTGGGGCTGGGGTGCAGCACAGGGTGGCCCCTGTCCCCCAGGTGCCTCTGCCAGCCCTGGCACCTCCCTGCAATTTGCCCCTTTCTGCCTGTTGCTCTCCCCTACCACTGCGATCACTAGTGATAACTTTGAGTAGTGGGATGAGACAGCCAAAAGGGGAATTTCATTCCGGAGGAAGAAATTAAGTGATATGCAGGAATGCAGCTGCTGTTCGGGGCTGCCCCTTTTGTTTCAAGGGCACCAGAGTAGTGGCCGTTCCTGGGCAGGGATGCTGTGTGCCTTCACTGGCAGGGGGTGGTCAGCAAGATAAATCGTGATGAAAGGCCCCAAGGTCAGTTATAAGTATGTAAAGAGCACTGTTATATCAGCTGCTAGATGGGGGGCATCGCTCCCATCAGCACAGCTGGCTGCCCCATGCAATTCGGTGGCTCCTCCAGTGGAGAGGAAAACAGCCTGGGTTTTCTCTGGCAGCAGATGCATCCATATATTAAGTGTCCGAGTTGGCCCAAAACGCCAGGGTGAGTGTCCTTGGCCTTGGCATGTGAGCAGCGGGGATTGCCCAGGGCAGGGATGGCAGTGACCCCGCATCTCCCCGCCACAGCTGGGTTCATTTGCAGGTGGCAAGGTGCTCCTCCTCCCAGGCTGGGGACATGGGTGAGCTGCCCCACCAGTTCCTCAGTGGTTGCCCCAGGCTCTGCTTGCATTTGGGTTATTCATTGCCTTTTTTAGCAGCACAGACTGCCATGCACCCCGCTGAGAGACCTGCTCCACTGTGTGGTCTCTGGGGCCAAGCAGTGCTATTGGCTTATTGCTGGTGGGGTTCGGGCTCATGCCTGGCTTTGAGCCGTCATGCTCTCGCCAGCTACACCTGGTGTGTAGTGTGTCTGCATGTAGTGCGCCTGTGGCTTTCTTTGTTTATTGGAAACTGGGAGAGGTGACTTCAAAAGCAAACCTTTAGATGTAAAGCAAACCTTGTAAAGCAAAATGTGTAGCCAGAACGGGAACACCTGACTCCAGCCACCACCACTTAATTGCATGGCTCGGGCTGCCTTGCTGCAGCTTCTCAATTTCAGCCTGGGGCGAGACCCATGGGAAAGCAGGAAACTCGGAGCAGCGCCCAAATGTCACGTGGGGATGCTGCGTGCCCCCCTTGCTGCTGGGAGGGCTGTGCTCTGCTCCCGCTGCTGACCACCTGCCCTGTCCTCTCCCTGTCCCTGCAGGAGCCATCCCATGCTGGCGCTAAGGCAGCTGGCCACCCCGCTGGAGCAGCCCCCGGGGACAGCCAGGACGGGCTGGAAGGAGACGTCGCATCCCCCCAGCAGGTGTGGTTTGGGGGGCTGGAGGGGAGCACCCGTGGCAGGGGGGGGGGTATGTTCACTGCATGTTCACTTGCTCCCATGGGATGCCCTGTACACCGTTTCTGCTTGGGGGTCTGCTGTGCAGGATGCCCACAGCTGGGCCAAGCTCTGGGCGTTAACCCAGCGGGAGGGTTGGAAGGGCACCCCAAAAAGGCAGCCTTGTCATGCAAGGCGTGGGGGGGATGCTCAGCTATGCCCACACCTGCCCCATGCCACGCGGTACCAAAAAGCTGCAACCTCCCGGCACCCAACTAATGCTGTGTTATTTCCCCCCCGCCAGGGCAAGGGCTGCCAAGGGCCCCTGAAGGGGGGCAGGAACAGCGCTGCCGGCAAGGGAGGCGACTCCGAAAATGAAGACAGTGACGAGAAGGAGGAGGAGGAGGAGGAGGAGGAAGAGGTAGTCGAGAATGAGAATGGCGTCAACGGCACAAGCACCAACACCACCGAGGGGGCAGATGGACCTCATGGCAATGGCACCGCAGTGGTTGAGGAGGGCACCGGCGCGGCCGAGGAGGAGGAGGAAGAAGAGGAGGAGGAAGAAGAAGAGGAAGAGGAGGAGGAAACTGAAGCCACCACCGTCGCCAGCACCACCGGTGAAGAGGGGCTGGCCCCGGCCACCACCACCGGAGAAGGGGGAGCCCCGG